GTCATACAGGCTGCTAACTAAGCCATGATCTCTTCATCTTTAAGACACTCTAATAAGTAGCCTTGCTATGAACTTCCTGTGGGAGTCTTAGCCAAATCACTATCTGTCTGTGCCCCAGATTCTATCGATTCGTTCTTATCAAAGGTAAGCTAATATTTACTGACTTGTATTTTTGTTTAAGGAAGGATATTATTGATTCCTGTGTGATTTAGGAACCTTTGCATGGGATTGGGTATCTAAAGCAAGCCTTCATTTTTCCATAATTTCTGTTTCATAAAGATCAACTTGCACAAGCTGCTGAGATACTTGTAAGAATCACTGCTATTGCAGCGTTTGGGTGTGTTTGGGGAAAAACAAAATGAAAGCAGCCAGCGAGGATTTCACAAACACAGGAGAGCTCTCAGGGATTTACATTGCCAAAATGAGCTGGGATGGAACAGGAAGGTTCAGGAGCTATCAGGAAAAAGAATTGCAATAAATCAGGAGGGTTCCAGAAGGGTGTGGAATGCTCCAGCATCTGGAAGGAGCAGAGGAGAAAGAGGTTGGGGACATGGAATAAGAAGGATTAATGGAGCTGAGAAGGTCCTGGATAAAAGAGAGATGTTGATGAGGGAAAGGGCTCTCTCTGTCCTCTCCTGGGATTACTTTTTTCTCACTCCTTTGAGAGGAGGTGCCGTCACAGCTGCATCTCTCTGTCAGAAGCCAAGCGGACTGCCTGGTGCCTGCAGCTGGCTACTCCCCAACCAGTCCATGACCCATCTCTGCTCAACATTCCGTGAACGAGGCAGAAGTGACTTCAAAGGGGGGGGGTCTGTTTTTCCTGTAAGAAGTACTCGGAACTTGCAGGCATAAGATCTGAGTCCATTTATTCACAAAGCAGATGACAAGTACGTCTAAAGCTGTATCTCACCAGTGCCTATTGCTCAGTGAGCTACAAGTTGGTGTTCAGAGAGCTTGAAGGTGATGGCAGCATTTCGGTATGTGCTTAGGAAAGGCCTCCCCCCACCCCCGCCCGCCCCCAAAAAAGAAAAAAAAAAAGAAACAAAAAATGTGACTTTGATTTTTTGCTCCTTCAGTTCTGGAAGCTGAAGAGATCCACTTTATCAGTTTAATCTATTAAATCTGTTTCCACAAGGAACCTGAGGAAGCCATTCTGCATGAGCTTCATCTGACTGGGACATGCAAGCGTCCCATTATTGCAGGATAACTGCATAGGCATTTATTTCTCCCTGTAAAAAAGACAACAGTTGTGGTGTGTAGGTATAGCATGTGCTATCACTGTTTGATTTTTCCTAGAGTTATTTTTGTTGGTTTTAATAAATGATTGTTCTATTAATATTGCTGTTTTTCCAAATTTGTTTTCCCAATGATATTTGACTTGAAAAATATCAGTATATTCAAGTAAACAGTCTAGAAACAGAACTGTTTATTCTGAATTGTTTTTGTCATCCTAATAGTGCATTTCAGCACACACTGTCTTTGAGACTTCAAAATATTTAAAGTTATCTTTTGTTAAATATGATACTTCTTCCAGTTCTTTAATTATTCATGGAATGTCTGTATACAGATCTTCTCTCTTTTTTTTTTTTTCAGTTATGCTGAGCAGCTGTTCTTGAAAAAGTAGGTTTATAAACTATTTTTTCCATGTTTGCTTTTACTAATCACTTCAAAGGTAAAATGGCATGATTTATAACATGTAACAAAACTTGCCAGCTAGATATTTGTTTTGTGCTGAAAATATCAGACTTCCTCATGAAAACTTTCCTAAACGAATTCCAAAAAAGGAATGAGCAATTCATTTGAAAGTGACAACATTTTATAACACTAAGTTTGTATTTATATTGGCTTAACCTTTTTGTCTTGTAGGCATGATCACTAGAAAAGATGCCGTATTTTGTTACTGTGCATGTAAACTCACATTGTTTCGTTTGTTTGTTTTGTGAGCATTTGCATGCCCCACTGCCTGCATTGACCGTTCCTGTAAAAGAAATTCATATTAGGTTAATCTGTGCACTGAGGTATCTGCGAAACATATGAAGAGGAGAGAAACACGTCTAACTCAGCAGGGTTATTACTGGCCTGTTTGTGATGGATTATCAAACCTAAAACCACTATTTACCTTGTGAGTTTGAAAGCTTGTGTATTCACCCAGGTGGGTTCAATAGGGAAAAATGTCATTCACTGGTGTAACTGAAAAGTATATGCATAGACGGAGAATAAAAATTCATCTGAAGAAAATAGCATATACAAAAGCATGATGGTATTCCTTTGGAAATGAGGCTGCTGACCTTTCAGATGCAAATGGATGATAGTTTCCATATTAAATGCTGAGATGTTAATGTTTCAAATCTGTTTGAAACCTGTATCATGCTTGAAAAGACTATACGCTTTTTATGTTTGACTTATTATTTTTTTTTGTTATGGCTATAAGGTGTTGTCTCCATTAGGGACCTTCACAAATATTCACTGCTCATGAGAGTAATGATGCAAAAAACCTCCCTTGTTCTGTGAAAAAATAAAAATAAAAAAAAAATCCTAGATTAGGGCCCAGAATCAGCATCCAAATCTGGTCTTTGTATTTGCTGGTAAAGTATTGTATGGCACTAGATTAGTGGGGTGTTGCCCTGTAATTTCTACTTTCTGTACTTTACTGGTTTGTTGGTGGAGTTTTTGTAGTCATATTTGCCTGGATTTGTTTTTATTTATTTATTTTTACAGTTTTTGATTACAAAAGAAACCGGGAAAAAATGGGAGTTTATCTCTTGTCTCAAATACAAGTCATTAAAAAAATCACCTAGAAAAATCACAAGTTTTTGATCCACATATATTTTTATATATATATATATCACTCTCTATATACAACTGGTATAAGAAATACCATTATTTGCCAATGCTTGCTAAACATTTTACATGATTAGAGATAAGTTATATATGCTCTTCTCTTCTGAAAGGCCGTGGGCTAGTGTGATTTAGAAAACAATTCATTTGTTTGCGGGGGGACGTGTGTGTGTGTGAACTCCTACCAGAGCTGTGGCCTCTTAGGTCATGATAGCTGTTGTTTATGTAATGGCCCCGTTTGGTTCCCAGAGCCATGGGCTGTGCCATAACAAGTTCACAGGGAGACAGTTTGATCTGATTCCCGTATTTGCATTAAGATCACTAATACGCGTGAGAACTGACAGTGGAAGTTTAACATCCTTAGGAAACGTTCCAATCCTCTAACCTCAAAGGAGCAGAAATGCAGAAAATTGTAGAATAGATCCACTCAATAAACTATCACTACACTCCCTGCCAGAGTCCCTCCCCAGCTTTCCTGTAGGCTCCCTTTAGGCACTGGAAGGCCACTGTAAGGTCTTTGTGGCCCTCCTATGGACTCGTTCTAATACATCCCTGACCTTTTTGTGCTGTGGGCCCAGAGCTGAAACCAGGCTCCAGGTGGGGTCTTCCGAGAGCAGAGCAGAAGGTAAAAGTCCCCTCCCTCACCCTGCTGCCCACGCTGCCTTTCGTGCAGCCAGGGTGCGGGTGGCTTTCTGGGCTGCAAGCGCACATTTGAGCTCAGGAATTTTGGAGAGAGAAGAAATTGCCACTAAAACTGTTTTTTTTTGTTGTTTGTTTGTTTTTTTTAAGTATAGTACTTGATTTAAACAATAAAACCTCTTATGCTGCCTACATTGTTATGTGAGATCCTCAGTGGGACAACTGGGAGTATAATAGGAAGCAGAGCTGCTGGCATAGATTATGGGACCACAAAGAAAATGGATGCCACTGTCAAAAGGGAAGCAATTGCTTAAAAAACAGCTGTTTCTAAATGTTTTTAAAATTAATTTTGAAAATGATTACCATGCACATTGCAGAAATCACTGCTCTAAAATTAGGATAGTATTTGTTTCAACCAGCCCTGCTGATGAAAAACTGCATAGCTTAAATCCAAATTATTTTGAAAAACTGGTAAATAGTTTTTTCCAGGGATGATGCTGAAATCTCAGATAATAATTTAACATGCTTATTTTTAGAAAACTGTTTCTTCTAAATATGTTAATACTGAGCACTTTGTGTAGAGAGACTGTACCATCTGTGTAGTTGTAGCCATGGACCAGACTAGGTATCAGCTATTTTCCAAATCTCTGGTCTTCTGCTTAATGCTTTGTTTCCTCCTTGTAACTCGCCAAATTCTTAGAATTTCTGGAAGTTTTGATTTTATTTGTTAGCAGGGCTGCAAAATCCTGTCTTATCCTCTGTGAACTCCTGAGTACTGTAGACCATAGAGTAAGACAGCCTAAGGTAGGACTAGTGCAAGGCTTTGTAGCAAAAGGTTCTGTCTCTAAGGTTCCTTGGGGAAAGAGGTTTGTGTGGCGTCACAGTGTTTTATTATCTGGAGGTGCTTTTATCTATGAAGTGTTAGGTCACAGATCAGGAGTCCTAGTCTTTTCACTCATAGTAAGATACAGTTGCTGTGTCTTATCAGAGTGATTTCCTTCCCATCACAAGGCAGTTGACAAGAGTATGTGCGACAAGTAGGCACGAGAAGAGAAGCAGACCTTTTGTTTGCAATGCAATCACGTTATTGCTATTAAGTGTTAGGGAATGGTCTGTAGCAGTGACTTCATGGAAAACCTAGAACTGCATACAGCAAACACGTTTTCACATTTCAGAATTCCTGCAACACTGAAGTAGGACCAACACCAGCTGAGACCAAGCACTTAAGCAGGTCTGCCTTCCCAGACAGCAAGAATTGTATCTTCCCTATTTATTTGGTTACGGCAGTCTTTGAGTTTGTCTGCATTGCAGGTTACCTGTGACATTTGTAAAAGCTGGCTGGTTACAGTATCTTTCCATCTACCTGCAAGATAGGTAATAAGACATTAATAATTTAGTCTGCTCATCTGAGGCTTGTGAAGAGCAACTTAGATGTGTAACTTATTTAAGAGCAACTTAAATGCTAAATGTGAAGCCTTTAATCATCCAAGCTTTCCTAACAAAATTATTTTATTTGTTTTCAGGGATGACAATAAAATCAACAAACGAGATGCCCCGGCAATTTGTGATCTTCACCGTTGTAAGGATGGGCCAGTAAGAAATGGCCACATTGGGCAGAGGCCACCCTCTATCAACCCTGAAAGACTGAAAGATTTTGTTGAAGAGGATTACCTCAATGGGGATGTGAAGACCTGGGAAATGAAGATAGTCAGCCGTAACGAGGAGTTACTTGGGGATGCCCTTTCCCTCATTCCTCAGTCAAGCACCAGGACCAGCCAGTCAAGCCACAACAAGCTGATTCGATTTGAAGACATAAGTGCAGCGGCTTTCAAAATCCAGAGCGGTGTTCAGAAAACACCCTGCATGGTAGGGAATTCTTATGGCTTTGAATACTCTCTCATAAAAATTGGTCAGAAATGAAAGAAGAGTATGCATTATCTGCAGCAGATAGATCTGTGTAAAATGACTCACATTGGTATTAGTTGTTGTGAACTGTCAATAATCATTTTCTTCCTACCTGTTTACATTAACCTAAATCCTCAAAGATTGCAGTGACCTGTAAACAAAGGATAAACCACATTAGGCATAGACTTAATGCACTGTGGTATTAAAAAACACTTGCTACAAAGAATCTGAGCTGGAGACCATTGACTACCGCTGTTGCAAAAGCAGTCAGATGAGAGGGTCTTGTTTGGAAGTAGCCCACATATGTGGGAAGTTTGAAAGATCAGATTTTCCTTCTTAGCCTGGGAAACCTGGCAAGGATGAATCTGTTCTGTAACAAGGTGGTTTTGCCACATGCCTCTTCAACAAAGCAATGATATTGAGATACATGCACACCCTTAGTGGTCAGTCTAGGTATAAAAATGATGGAGATAGTCTCATTGCATATGTAAAAACATTTGTTAAAGCATATAGAAGTGCAGTGACTTAGCTATTTAATTCATGGTATATTTCTGCTGTTGGGAACTCTTCAGGAAGGTGATTGTAGGCCCTCTGTGGCTAATCTCCTCTTTTCCCTGTAGTGGGTAAGAGAAAGTCTTTGGCAAACGGTGGTTCAGAGGAGCAGCCCCAGATCTCTCTCTGGAGGAAGGTCTCCTTGTCACTGACCCCCACGGGCACACTGCCAGCCTCACTGGCTGCTGATTGTCTTTCTGGCCTGCACAGGGAAAGGACCTTGGAGCAAATTGGTTGAGTCTGCAATGCACAGCAGTTCTGCTGGTTCCCAGATGGTGCCTGCTGATCTAGAGATGCCATAATTACTTGCAGTGTTGCTTTTTTTGGCTCAGAGTTCCCTGAATAAGGATAGCTTTGGCCACATGGGTTATTGTGGGATCATTCACACTCTCAGCTCAGATGGATCTGACCAGCAGCTCACAGTACAGTCTGTATCTCAGCCCCATTCCCTAAGCTCCCAAAGTGTGGTTTCTGCTCTGAAAGTGAACCAACACATCCTAGTGTGGGAAAAGGTGAGCCACAGATTCCATGTTCTGCTCCTGCAGGCACATGTGTAACAGGAAACTTTTCATAAACTGGTAGTGTTCCTGCTCACAACTAGTTAAGCTCTATTTGGCCATTTCACAGTATTTATTCTCAGGCAGCTTTGCCCCTTAACTTAAATAGCTCTTTTCTCTTGGGCATTGCTGGCAGATTTATGCAGCACAGTTGTATCCCCTCTCTGCATTTGCTGTGCCAAGCTAAACAGGCCAACTTTCTTCAGTCTCTTTTTATGAACTGTGTTTAGGATGATCAGAATAGTGTAAAGTCTACACCCTTTTTTTTTTTTTTTTAGTGTTAAAATAGCCTATGGCTGTTGCTAGTCCAAGTAATCTTCATGGAAAAGTCATTAGTATCTGTTTCACGCACTGATTCAAAAGGAAGGTATTGAAAGCACACAGTAGTGTCAAAAACACAGATAACCTTTATATGAAATCCTCATCAGTGGGAGGTAAGAACCACCCTCAGGGACTTTTTTTTTTTATTATTTTTTTTTAATCAAAAGAAAGTATAACTAAAAACTGTTCAGTTAATTAATAAGCAAAAACTTTGCAGAGAGATTCCCAATCTGCAGGTAAGACCATGGATGAAGCATCCTTCTGGATCTTTATGCGGCAGTTTGCCTGAAGCTGAGGCATGACATGATGTATGATGGTCATAGAGGTTGTGGAGGTAGTAGGTAAAGGGAAGCAAGGACTGAGCATTAAATTGGGCACTCAATTTGGTCGCTGGTATAGGAACTTAAAACGTTGTTTGTTCTGTGTTAGTTTTATGGATGTAGAATGGATGCTGCTCTGTGTTGTACCTTAGACACAGCATCTGTAGTCCCTAGATAAGACCAAAGTGACAAAAAGGAAAAGTTACAGGATGGTTCAATGACTCTTACGAGGTCATACATCAGGTCAGTACTGCTGGAAATAGCACTGACACCTCCTTTGTTAGAAGTAATTGTTGTATTTAGGCCACAAAAATAAGCCCCAGTTAAAGGAAGAAGAAAAAGATAACATTAAAAAACAAAACAAACAAACAAAAAACCATAAATGTTGAATATCAAAATTTAAAAAAAAAAAAAAGATACATGTGAAGTACACCACTTCTGTGACTAATTAATGCATATCTTAAAATGTAGGAGACTTAGCAATTTTACAAAATCACAGGATTCATCTTTTTAAATCTTGTTTCTTAACATTCACTCTAGAATCCAAGATGCTCTACAAAAACTGATATGATAAAACTAGTGAGGTATATGAAGACCCAGTAAGGCAGCATTTCCTGTCCAGCACTCTTCTGTTTTGTTTAGGCATTCTCCGTAGTTCAGGCTGTTTAGGATAGAAACAGTTTTTCTCTTAGTTTCCTAAGCACTTTCCATTCTTTCAGTTCTGCAGCCAGATTTCCAAAGAGAGCAGCAAGCATTGACCTGTGTGATGCCACGAGTTAGCCTTGATGATCCTTGTGGGTCCCTCCCAACTCAGGATATTCTACGATCCTATGATGAGTGGTGTAGCTCCTAATGCAGGAGAAGCAAAATAGAGAATCTGGCCCCACCTATGGGTGAGGAAGTAAATAAATGTTTCCAAAGGCACTAAAAAGCCTGAAAACACTCATCTGAAGTATTTAATTTAATTGCATACCTTAAAGCAAGTATCCATTTCAGATATGTTTAGTTTATAGAAATTTTTAACTCTTTGAAAGTCCCGCAATCTGACACATATTGCTAGTACATATCAGATTGCAAATATTGCACATATCCGATACATTACGTAACATGCATGACACTTTTTTGATAGAAATATTGAATATGTTGTCAAGCTCTCTTTTAGTCCGTCTCTCGTGAAAGTACTTATCTTTGTACCTGTATTTGATCAAGATCAAAACCAATGTTATTTTCAGAAGTCCCATGCTGTACATATTTCACCGTTTCAAGTTTTAAAATTACTTCCATAAACCACAGGAATCTGGTAGGTAACAGCACGCTGTCATGTATTTCCAAAGAAACTGAATATGTAACTTTCCTTTTTGGAGGTCACACATAGCAGTCATGCCTCCTTCAACAGGGAGCTGATGGAGTCTGCAAGGTTTTTCTTAGTTTTCGGTTTATCACCATAATGTTTCTATATTCCAGTACTCCAGGCTATCCAAGCAGTATGGAGTGGATATCTACCTAAAGAAAGAGTTCCTCCAGTACACAGGATCTGTGAAGGAGCGAGGTGTGCTTTATCTTCTGACATCATTGCCTCAGGTATAACAAAGTGCCAGTATGTGAAAGTAAAAAGAATCAGTTTGGCTTGACAGAAATAGAGCAGAATTGTTTTGAACTACAGTGTCCATAGAACCAGAGTGTTTCTTGCCTTTTGAACTGTTGCCCTGAATAACATAGATCTGCAAATATCTGAATGTAAAATATTTTTCTTCTTTGTGCATGGCTAATCCACTGGTGAAATGCTTAAAATATTTGGGGGGGGGGGGGGGAGAAAAAAAAAACTTTTAAATGTAAACTTCACTGTTTAAAAGTGACACTTAGATGGAAGTGCTTGTATGTGTATATGTTCTGACATGCTGAAACCACCAAACTTGAAGTGATGATGAAATCGAGTTACAATGGGTGATGAGAACTATCAAGATCACCGATTGATTTTTGTCATGAATTTCAGTACCATTGCATGAATTTATCTTTTGTTGTAGGAGGCTAATGAATCTCTGTAGCAATAATAGTTGGCATGACACAGCAGCCCCAAAACAGTGGTTATTTCTGCATTTTGCAATAATATAAATAAATCATTTTGTTAAAGGGAAACCTGATACGAAGTAATTTCCCACTGGCAAGGAAGAGGGAATGGGTACCGGCTCTGAGGGGACGGATGTTGACTCTTCTGGGATCAGCTGAATCTTTGCAGCTAATTCCAGTGGAAAAATAATTGAATTCGGGGAATACAGGGATTGTAGCTCTGTACGTATGTATACTGTATCATAATACCGTAACCTGATCAAACAGTAAAGGAAAAGAAGGTTTCCTAATAGAAAGAAATCAGACCATTAGATTGATTAAGGATGATATGGGACAAGTTTGTGACACTGCATAATGTGCAATAAACAATCCTGTTTTTTAGGATCAGCAAAGAAAGGGGGTGATAGTGGCTTCAGACGGTAACTTTTCCATGGCTGTTGCTTACCACGCCTCAGAGCTTCGTATCCCAGTGTTTGTCATTATGTCAACCAGCACTTCCCCAGCCAGAGTGAAGATGTGCCGTGAGTATGGTGCCATGGTTATATCCTATGGCACTACAGCTAAGGATTCCCAGATGCATGCAAGACGGCTGGCACAGGAGAATGGTTACCTCTACCTCGAGGAGTAAGTAAAAAGTCAAGATTGTTTAAAAAGATTATCATTGTTCAGAAACTTGCCCAGCACTGCAAAAACAGTTACTGGCATTAATTGTCTCAAACTTAAAATTTGATCACACATCATCAAAAGATTCCTCTTACCTGGGGGATGGACGGTTATAGTTACAAATCAGGTACAAATAGTGAACCTTTCCATAGCAGTTTGGGATGGAATCCAAAATGAAATACCCTTTTCCAGGTAAACGTCCTGATTAGGAACTTCGGGGCCTGGTATGACGGTGGATATACGTTAAATCTTTATGAAACCTGTCAGCGTGCATTTAGGCTTGCATTCTTTTTTGGTCTCTCTGTGAGGAGAAAGGTAGGTGAAAATTAACCTTTACTGAAAAAGATTTGATGGTGTAGGGCAGAGCAAGAGGTTAGTGCTGCAAAGGTATTCGCGTATCTCGTGTAACTGACAAAACTGTGTTTCTGGCATGAAAGAAGCTGATTAGAAGGCTAGTACACACATAAGGAGCTATGAATGATTATAAATTTAAGTATTCAAGCTATCTGAGGTCATGAAACAAACCAGCTCTAGTAAAAGCATATTTAGAACAAGATAAGGTAGGGAAATTTAGAACTGATCTAATTTCCCCTTTTCCTTTTTCTCTCTACAGTCTATTCTGTGGTTCCTTTCCCTTTATGTTTTTTTTAAGTAAGATCACCAAGGGGGCAGAGGGTTGACTCATTAACATGACATAGCTGGCAGTCCCTCTGATGATGCACTGAGTTGGAATCTTACACTCCTGCTGTACCTGCCCATTGCTGCCTCTGTACCAACACACCACTGGGCATTTGTATGGCGCCTACTGCAGTGAGTGCCTATTCCCCTTAGACACTGCTGCAGTAAACACAGTAATAATGAGTAATATTGCTTGGAAAGAGGATCTCAGAATGAACAAGATGAAGAAAGTCTTTTCTTCCTTCTCAGCTGGTTTATTAGGAAATTAATATTAAAACCTGTACTTTATGATTGGATTGTCTGCTCTGCCAACAGCTAACCCACAGGGCTGGTTGGTGTGCCTTGTCCACCTCCATGGGCACAGCCTTTTCTCAGACTGAGACTTTCAAAGAAACACAAGGGAACAAGGTGCCTTAGATCCCACTGAATTTTAAACCCATGCACGCTCTTTTTGAAAACCACAGCTTTACATAATCTTATGATTTCCAAATTTCTGTCAGATGTTTTTCAATCAGTGTGTTAACTCCCAGCTGGCTTGCATCAGCTGTCACATTTACACATAAGAACTAAATTGCAGTATTGTAATTTCATGTTTAATCTTTGTCTCCTCCCCAACAAATTTATTTATGTTATGTAAAGTAGATATTCTCTAACTTCATGGAATTCCATGAACAATGTGTGCAAAGGATTTCTGCATCTACCATTGATGAATTCTAAATGAAATTATCATTAATGATGTCTATGTATTATGATTTATTGTATTTCAAGTTAAAACAAAACAGCTATTCAGTCTATTACTATGTTTAATTACAACCTATCTCTCAATAGATTAGTTTTTTCACATGCTGATGAAAAAAAAATATCAAAACTAGTACAGTCATGGGCCTTTTCATAACAGGATGCCTTAAACATGTTTTGTTAGATATAGACTGGGAGCACTTTTCCAGAGAGATGTGTGTATGTACGCGTAGCTAGTCTTCTTCAATGTACCTGCCACACATTCATTACCACTTGCGAAAGCTGTCTGTAAAAGATCAGCCTTTCTCCCGTGCTTTAGAATGGAACTTCTGAAATGGAATTTATTTCATTTTAATTCTAGTTTGCCTAGAACCCCCAGCAATTTGATCCTTTGATCCCTAGAAAATCACAGTAATGGTTTTCCAGATATGAAAAGCATTCCCATACAATGCATGTTCATTAGTTTATTTCTGTATTTATTCCTCACTGAATATAGGATAAAAAATAAAAATAAATACTGAATGGTGAAAACAATTGAAGCTGTCCAGACATCTGTTGTCTTCTAGGGTAGCACATATGAAATCCAAGAGATGAAGCTTATTTATTAGTTGCACAGGTTGCAGTGTTGCTCAGATGGAGAAAGGTGGCTTCATGGGATCTCTGGATCTCCTTAACCAACAGTTTATTCTCTCCTTTCTGAAGCAGGCATTTCATGACTGTCTTTGTTTTTACCTGTGCATGTAGTATCCTGTAGTTGGGTGTGTCAGTGTCAGTTCTTCTCTTTTCTTGATTGCAATTAAAATACTCTGTTATGAAAACTAGCATGGAAGTATCCAATTAGGGGAGGGAAATTTTTTATCCTGTTGCATCTTCCTGTGAAATGCCAGAAAGGAAATGTGATTTTCCAAGTTGGAATTCACTCATGAAGTCTACATAATTGCTGCTCAGGTAATGTAGGATTTCCAGTAACTACAGATGTTCAGGACGTCATTATAAATGTAGTATGAAGATTGTCAATAAATTATAGAGTACCTCTGGGATGACTGGAGAATAATTGATTTCTGAGTCAGAGAGGTATAAAATGAGGTGCTACAGAATGAATTACACACCTTCCTTCCTTGAGAGTCCATTTTTTTCTCATGTGACTCCTTGTCCAAATACTTGCCAGACCTGATCCTAGTTCACTTGTGATTTGGTTAGTCTAATACAAGAAGGGCAACTGATAGCTTTTGAGCCCTTTGCTTGGAGAACAGGGGAACAGAACCTGGTAACTCTCAAGTCAAAATTTCATTGTGAATCTGAAGCCTGACAGCCCATTTTGGTTGCTGGTATGTTGCACATTTCAGAAGGCAAAGGGACAGATTTCTAGCTCTGACTCAAAAATGCTTATTGAAATGTGCCATCTTTGAATTTACCTGTCCTTTTTCCTTGCTTTTCCTTCAATGGTATATAATATCAAGAGAGAGCTGTTTGTTTTCACAGAGCAAGAGTAATCAGTGATGGTGCAAATAAAGTGACTCGTTTTATGATAAAGAGATGAAAACTGATCGGTGAACTGGTGTTCTAACAATATATTAGCAATAAAAACATGATTACCTGAAACCTTTATTCAAACTGCTACTAAGTCTTTATACACAGAGCAGTCTCCTTTGGACACAGTTTTTAGTTGTTAAAGTTTTGCTTGTAAATTGAATATCCCAGGCCTTCATTTGTTTTTGCAAGTTCCCATGTAAGCATTGTAGGGCAACTGCAATCTAAATTCTGAACCTTATTTGTGAATAAGGCTCCAGAAAAAAATAAATAAAATCAGGAGACCAGTGATATATTTTGTTGTGTACACGGAGGAAGAGAGAGCTGCATCAGTGTCTTGATAAAGACAATAAATTCAAGGGTTCATTTACCGATTCCACTATAATTTCTTTAATTCTGGTACAGGAGTGAAAGTTCAATTCTCTCATCTTTTGTCGTGTAGCTAAACTGACTCTTGCCCTGAGCAATTTGATGTGTTTTTCGATCGATGTAATTTCTCAGCAGTGCCTTGGTCTCCACCTGGCAGGCATTCTGTGCTCCTCAGCATGTCTTAGCAGTGACAGAAGAGCACGGCTTCCTTGTGTACCAAAATGTACTCAGTAAAATAAATCAAGTGAAGTCATTGGGTCTATAATTGTTTGGCCAGAAAATATAAATAAATAAATAAATAAATAAAACAGAAACATATGGGCACACAGAGGTCTCTTATTTTTAATTCATATATCATGATACATTTATAGCATTGCTAACTTGTACATAAAATCCAAACCAGCTTTTAGAAATAGACCCAAGCCAATCGTGCGACCGTACAGTGGGCTTTTCTTCAGTCTTCTGACTCTGTTTGTCCATATTCTGCTCATTAACTTAACTTTGCCTGAAAGTGTTCTGCCAGTATTTTGGAAAACTAAAACCCTTGCTTATCCTTCCATGAGGTCTTCCAGAGTAATGTTCAAGTATCAGATATTGGCTCTGGGCTGTGGAAAGACTGAGCTCTGTAACACTCTGTTTGGTATTTGTGAGGTTGAACGCAGTGCTTGAATTTCATAAAAAAAAAATCCCATTTATCACGAACACTGAATTCCACATACAAATAAAGAGAACAAGATCTCCTTTTGAGACTTTGCTTTTCGTTTTGACCACAACATTCAAAATTTATGAAGTTTAAGGAAGTGATGATGATGGAAGAATGCTTTCTCTCCTTATCTCTGTAAATCCCTGATATTGCTAACAACAACAATACGTGCTCGTCAGCGTAAGGGCTACTTGGCAGGCCTACCCGGGGCCAGGCTGTGCGATGAATTCTTCTTGGTTGCACTTTATGCATTAATCCCAGGATTCACTCCTGCATGAAAACTTGCACTCCTGTTAAGCCCAGATGATTGGTGATAACAAAGTGATTCAGGTAGCTTGAAAAGTTTGCTGACCTGGCTGTAACTGCATGATTTGTGCCTCTGTTTTTCATAGGATTTTTGCTGTCAATTTTTTTTTAGCCGTTTGATTTTGCTCTGCTGTAGAAAGGGTCTGCTCAGTTTCTCAGTGGCACAATGTGTTCTTCCAGTAGGTAACGTCACACTTTACAAAGTGATGGTCTGTTCGATGGCACTGACCTGTCACATCACCTCCTGGCCTCATTGCGCTGGTGATTTATTCTCATGTATTTTTCCTGCTGAATGATATATTTAGAGTAGCAGATTGAACTATTACTGTGTTGACAACTGTGAGTTCTGCTGAGATGTACCTTTCCTTCCTGCAGGGAGGACAGTGCTGTCTACCTGTCGGGCCTGGGAACTGTGGGACTGGAGATGTACGAGCAGGTGCCAAAGCTGGACGCGGTGATTTTCCCAGCAGGAGGCCACTGTGGCCTGCTGGCAGGGTCGGCTGCTGCACTCAAACACCTCAACCCACATATTTCTGTAATTGTAAGTTTCCTTTCACCTAGAAAGCATTGAATTTTGATTTTGATAGCTTTCACCACAGTTTTGTTGTTGTTGTTGTTGTTGTTGTGGGGTTTTTTTTGTTGTTGTTTGTTTGTTTGTTTGTTTTTCTCAAAAGGCAGTGGTATCTAGTAATATGCTGGCAAGGACTGCCAGGGGACAGGGACTACCTGTGTTCACTACCCAGCAGCAGACCTGAGAGCTTCAGAAGCCTCCTGTCTCTTGGCTGGATTTAAGAAAAAATCTGAGAATGCTCTTCCAAAGCAAATGACACCTGTTTCTGTGCTTTGAATTGATTTCTTGCTGGAAATGTTTAACCCTAAAGATGCCACAGGGTAAATTTAGTGGTAGCTTAGTTGTTATGGTAAAATTTCTTTAAATTGTTGATTACTTATTGATTGTTGATTGCGTAATGTTATTATTATTATTATTGTTATTTTGCTGTGGCCGGGTAACTTTCAACTTCAGTACATGTACTATTGTTTTCTATTTTATTGTGAACGCTTCAGAAAAGGAGAGTTATTTGTGATCGAAGCTGGCAGACTTCGGTGTGCTTAAGAGGGATATAAACACACATAATACAGCATTACTGTCTTGAATACATCTTGGGTACATTTGACTTACACTTAGCAACTTCTGCTGCTGTAATTTATAGATATATTTGACATTGCAGTTGTAAGGGAATCTTCCTGTGTGGAAGGAAACCGTAATCAACTTAAACATCAGATATGTGTATATACATATTAATTTTATTTTTTTCCAAACATAATTCTCTCCAGAAGTGATGAGGAATGAGAGAAACGAGTAGAAGAAAAAAATCTAGGAACTTTGTATTAACCGTGGAATGTATATTTCAGAGCTGTGAAATAGTAGCGGGATGGTTGATCAAGATTTATTTTTCCATCAACTTTTTCTGTGAGGGAATTCTTACAAGACTGTGATCAATTCCACCCCCCATTCCAACCCCATTTATTCCTGGGTATCATCCCATACATAACAACTAGATTAGCTTTTTCATTATCAACTTCTATGTCTTTTGTAGTATTGAAAAACAATATTCTTGTAAAGATGAAAAGCTTTTTGCAGTTTGTACTCAATTTTAATTCACTTTGAATTTTTTCTGGAAACTTGTTCTAAAAATTTTCCTCATCCCTTTTAAAAACTAAACTACATGGACAAGATTATGTACATTTCGAATGTGAGTGAGATTCAAATTACCTTGTTACTAACTCTGAGAGGAAACTTTTTTGGTTATAACACTGATTATGTTAGAATTTGATCACTAAAAAAGTGACATCATTTGTATTCCCCAGGGTGTTGAATCTGAAAGTTTCCCTGTATTGCAACAATCCCTAAAGGCTGGCCACCCCGCTGAAGACCAGGCTTGCAGCAATCATCACTTTTATGGAGGTAGGAAAAAAATGGATTATTCTTGTAGAGGTAAAATAAAGGTTGTAATTGATTTTGCCAACCTAGTCATGTTCTTTTCCAGCTAACTGAGTTTTAACGTATTTAAACAAAGTCTTGTCTGAATATATTTCACAAAATTTAATGTATTTTATAAGAGCAGCTTCTGACACACAAGCTGCACCCCTCTTCAAGGTACAATGCTATTTCCAGTGCACATGAAATGTTCAGGTGAGTACTTAGAGATATGAAAGTAGTTATCTGACTTCTGTGCTCACAAGCAGTAACTTAACCAGTGAAGTCAATGGGAAAACTCTTGCCTAGAAGACTAATTTTTGAAAAGGCAGAAAAATGTGGTGCTTAAATATTTACACTTGCAAAAATGTCCTCAGGATAACAGCGTTTATAAACAATTCAGTTGTTCCCATATAATCTGCACAAAAAAACTCAGCTGTTAAGCAATTTAAGAATATCCTGTTTACCAGATGTTCAAATCCCCTGAAGCTTTAGGTTAAATGTGAGCTTTATAACCAAACAACTTAACTCTCTCAGTAAGTTCTGCCTGTCCCTGCACTCCTTTTCTAACTGTCATGCTGTAGCTTGCTAATTCAGTGCCACACTTGGTGGTTCTTCAAGGCCTCATTGTGCACTGAGAAGCACCAGGCTGTAGGATCACTCACACAGTAAGGCAGTGCGAGTGAAGAACCAGGACTTTTGTAATGGGATCCAAAGTGGCAAAATCTTCCTGGAAGATCCTTGGCCTTCTGGTACCAAACTCATTTTTGTCATGTAAAAATCAAGCTGCCTGAGATTATAGAATAGCAACGTGATGCAATCATTAAGGACAAAAAACAGTGTCAGGACTCTAAAAAATGATGGACTTTTCTAGAGTAGCCAGCTTCACGTTTTTGTATTTTGAAATTGCAGATGTGAGTGGACTTTGCTTTGGCAACAATTCTTTGCAGCTGACTGGGAAACTTGTGGATAAAGTTGTTGCTGTGAGGTAGGTGAAGAAAAGACACCAAAATAAATAATATTGGGTGAACATTGCTGTGTATGAAAACTGTGCTGTACCTGACACTGAAGACAGTGAGTTTGTCCCCACTTATCTGACCCCTTTGGCCAAAACAATTTATGGGCTGCTAATAAACACTTCTAATTCTTCACCGAAATACAAGTTCCAATAATATATTTACACACTAGAATTTAGCTGGCTCAGTGGTTCTAGTAAAAAATAACACTGTCTTACAGTAATAAGACTGTACATTCACCCCCATCAGCGCAGCTTTCTATAACACCACAGTGGGATCATTATGTACCCAGGAGGACAGAAGGAATCCCTTCACACATAAATGTATTGTCTTCATTTTTTGGTAGTTCTTCTGTTTTGTTGTTTGGTTTGTTTTGTTTTGACACAACTCTTTCTCCACCAGAGAGGAGGACATCCTCATTTCCATGCTGAGACTGCTGGAGTATGAGCGAGCCACAGTTGATGCAGAAGGGGCCATTGGACTTGCAGCACTGGTTGCTGGGAAGCTGCCTGAGTTGAAGGGTAAAAGGTACAGCAGCTATTGCAAATGGGACTCAATACGGGAATTGTGGCAAAAGCATGGGGCCAAGTGCCTTGGTCATGGGAAATGGAGGTACTTGTTTTATGAGTGATGCGTCAGTTTCTGTTCCTGCACTGCCAATAGGCTTATCCATAGCATCTAGCTTCAGGCTGAAGAGACCACTCACAGGTCAGAAGACCATGTTGAACTAGACAAACGTCAGTGTTCTCAAATGACTGGGAGAAAGGCAGTTATGCACATCTGCTATGAGAGCATCTTGCTCTTGCCAGCCTGCTGCCTTCTCACATCCCGCATGTGGAAATCAACCCCATCTGTGGTGGGACCTTGCCTCCTGAAAAAGAAACAACTTGCTAACAAGTGAGCTGGGCTGTCATCTGCAGTCACTGAGTGACACTTGCCTTCCAACCCCAAGAGCTCCTGCCCAGCTAGGATTGCCCTTGTGCTTAGTGTTAATTGTGTGGGTAAATCCCTTCTTGCATCTGGGCTTCAGCACTCAGTACTTAAGCAGATTGAGCCTTGACTCAAGATACAGCCCAGAATGTATTTAAATATACATGTGCTCAAGACAAAGTTTCCAATATACAGCATTGGATGCTAAAATGCTACTGAGGCAGTTGATAAGGCTGAAAACAGTACAGAGCAGCAACAAAATTCAATTCAGCACAGCTAAAATAAAAGAGAAAATGCACAGGTTTGCCTCTGCAGAAAGAGATTATCAGGGACTAACCATGTGGCTGTTCAGTTGCTCTTCAAACATTTCTATATTCATTTTTCAAGGTTGAGGTGGGTTTAATTAGTGGCTACAGAAAGCATTGAGCTCTTAAGAGCCCAAGATGCAGAATTTCTGGTGAAAGTGCTGTTCTATTTTTTAAATTTGAAATAGACGTAGAATTCTCCAGCTAATTATCTCTAACAAAACTAAATCCCCAACAAATACTAAGTGAAAACAAAACAGCTTCAGACAATCTAATACAGCCAGCTTCTAGAATCCCACAGCCCACCCACAGTTGATACTGAGAACTAGGAGCTCCTCTGAAATGTAATATATGTTTATGAAAGGCTGGTCCCTGCAAATGTTAAGCTGATATTGAATTTAATGTCTGTGATTTATGACTGCTTTGCACAGAGAAGAGCTAAGAAATCCTATTTTCTTTCTGCATTCAGAGTGGCAATTGCTATATGCAGTGGAAATGTGGAGTTACATTTGCTGCAGCAGTGCATAGCTCGTGCCCTGACCCTTGATAACAGAGTGTGCAGATTTTCTCTTGTGCTTTCTGACTGCCCAGGAGACATTTCAAAGCTACTGGAGATTCTGGCTCGGGAAGAAGCAAGGTAAATCCAGTAAAGTAGTAAGGAAATGTAGGTCACTGCATAGCACAAAGATTATTAAAAACTTGGATGTATTTCCAAATGTCCTCTGAAGGCAAGTCCATAAGTAACTAACTAATCAGTGTTTATTGTGTTATGTTTCAGAAAAAGTTCTTTTTCCCTTCATTTTGGTTCCAAAGTAAAAGCAGCTTCTCACCATTGAATAAGTATCTGACCCACAAAGCAGTAAAAATAGCTACTGTTCAGACATTTAGATAAATTGTTTATAATGACGAAGAATTGTTATGATCTCTATTTTATCCCTTAATTTATCCCTTATTTGATTTAGAGTTTTGGATATCAAGCAAGAACGAATGTTTGTGACGTCTGAGCTCTTCAGTGTTGAGGTAAGACAATTCCATTCTCTCTAGCAATGCTGACCTCCCCTTGTTTTTTCTGTTTTCCTATAATCTTTATACAACAATGTGGAATTTTGGGGAAGTCCAACAGAGTGTTCACAATGATTTTTGAGAGCAGCGTAATAGATCATTTCTTCTGTGTTACACAGCTCCTTGCCTCACCAAACACTTAACAGGTATATAAATAATAGAGGACCTGTTTTACCTGTTATTGTGACATGATCTGTCCAGATGTTAACATTGCAAACCTTCATTACATGAATAGTTCTGTGACGGAAGTGATGAGCAATCTGCAGAATCTAGAACTTGAAGAGCCAGCTGTGTAGGCTGGCTGTAATTATTGAAGACCAATTTGCCTTAAAGCAATGCAGAGAACACCCTTACTTTTAAGGAAACCTTATTTTTAACTAGGCCCACGCTTTTGTACCCTATCCACAAAGAGAACAGAGTAAAGTCATTATTCCTTTGGTGAATATTTGATACAATCATAGAATCATAGAATATTCTGAGTTGGAAGGGACCCATAAGCATCATCAAGTCCAAATCCAATAATGGAGGTGTTATCATCTAATATGATCTCTTAAAAGGATCATTCATCTCATGACATATCTCTTATTTCAACTGGTTTAGCAAAGGTGTGGTTCCACTGTTTTCATGCTACTACTGTCCAGGTCTAACATGACTATGAAATCACAGGTGGAAGTTTAGATTCTCCTTCAGTTTAAATTCTCTTCCCCCATGGCTCACACTGGATTTCCATCTGTCAGAGGACTGCACCCTAATTTACTTGAGTCCATAGGAAATGACTTGTAAAGTCTTAGCATTGAAACAGAGAGGTAACTCTTAGCAAATCATACAAATAGCAAATTTAGTAGCCTTTACATTTTACAACTATTGAAGCAGATTAGATGGCCAGGAATATCTAGACAGTAATGAAGGTCAAAGCTAAGGAAAAAAAAAAAATCATCCAACATCACCAGCTAACTGGATATAGAGATCTAAAGGATTACCTATTTTGTGGGAGGAAACTACAGCTTGCCTCTGTGAACCTTCCCTAGCCTTTATCAGTAACAGTCTCTCAAATCCAATATGGGGAAACCTATTGCTTAAATAAATGTTTCCACTTGTAAATCTCTTTACAGCTATTTAAATTCCCTTTCATTTCATGTTTTTGATAACTTAGAAGTAGTCGGTGGGCAAAATCAATAAGCTACCTAGTAAGGTGAGGTATACCTTTGTTATATAATCATAGAATCATTAAGGTTGGAAAAGACCTCCAAGATCATCTGGTCCAGCCATTATGAAACTATGCAAGTCTCTGCTATAGATTATCACCTCACCTTCTTAATGGGTCTTTTATTTGGACTCAGGCAACTCAGCTGAAAAAATATAAATTTGCACTCATCTAGTTTCTAGAGAAGTCTTCTCATCACTGAAACTACAGCATGAGCAGACAGGCAGGTACAGGAGGGCTTCTGGAATGGAGCAGTAAGGGCCTGCAAGGTCATGAGGTGCTCCAGCAGCTTGGCAGAGAAGCAGCTGTGGTGGCAGTTTTCCCTCTGACATCAGTCCTGTTTGAAATTATGGGGTTGTCTGGCCTCTTCCCAGCTATGGTTTTAAATAACTCAGAAGAGACCAGTGATAAAAAGAACATCCATCACACTACTTTTCCATCTGACTGCAACAAAATATGAATTCATAAGTAAAATGTTGTTTTTTCTTTATGATAACATTATACATAGTCCCAGCAGTGCTCAGGTTCCTGGCTGGCTTTGTGTGGTGTAATACCTGCTGTTTGCATACTGTTTATTCACTTTGAGCCAGAAGTCGTTTAATTATTTTGCTCTGTTCTGGTCAATTTGAGTAATTCCCTTTAGGCCAGCTTGCATGTTGTAAAAGAGCAGAGGCAGAATATTTTCCACTAGAGTTCCCAGTTGCCAATGTATTCCATGTTATTGACCTGTTGAAAGGATATAGATGAGCACATAGCTGTCCAGCTACAGGAAGGATGTTATCATTCATAAAGCATTTCCTTCATGACCTTGGGCAAGACACTATTTCCCTGCTTCAGTTCCCTGTCTGCAGGAGATGTTTGGAGTGTGAAGTCTGACAATATATTTGCTCTGAGGTGCTCCAAAATAATTCAGTTATTTAGTTTAATGGCGTTCTACAGCAGACTAATGTGGTACAGAATATCCAACCCCAATTTGAGGAAAAAAAGAAACTCAGTCTGAGGTAGACCTGCTTGATTATTATCTGACTTGTGTAATGCTGTGATAACTTGTTTGTGCTAGTGCTCACCGGCCTGAATACAAGAGTGTGCCAAAAGATAAGGGCTTGAGTTGCACAAGATACTATGCTCTTTCTCAAGCATTGCATTGCACGGACCATGGGGGCTACCTGCAGCTGATCCCAAAATCATAAACGGAAGTGCTGCTGCCAGATAATTGGCAATGTGCAGTGGGAGTTCGCTGTATAATTCAGAAAATTGCCCAGTTGTTGATCTTAATAGAAACAAAAAGCCTTGCTTATTTATAGAACTGAAATCAATATATGTAAATGAAATTATCATTTGTAACTCCAGTCATTTGCTTACAAACAAACCTATGCTTTTGCTGAGCATGGTGTATCATGAATATTAAGTTATGTGAATAGCTGGAGACTAACGTCTTAAAAGAAGGCGAATATTGTTTCTAAAATTAAAGAAATGGGATAGAAAAGTGCAATGGATGAGTCATGGATTTAAGGAATTGCACTAGCTGGTTGGCATCAGCCTTTACACTGAGCATGGAAAAGCACTTAAGGCAAAGATTTTGATTGAACAATGCTGCTCTTACTTGTTCACTAGTGTTGCCTTATAAAGGCCACCCAGTATCTTTATCGGCGTACACAAGCTACAGATATTGGGCACCAAGGATTTAAGGGGCACACTGAAATAATTTTGAGTATCTGGGAAAATATGATTTAAAAGGCCAAGTGCCCATAGGGAAGACTTGGAGGTAAAGGGGAGCAGAGGTATTCACTCTGTTGCTCAAGTTATGGAGCATAGAATTTTGTAAATTTCTTTCTTTTGTGAAGTTTTGAAATTTACTCTCCTTGAAATTGAATTAATTCCAATTAATGATTTTAATTTATGCATATGGTTTTAGCATTGCACAGAGGGATAATTTTTGACTGATCTTTGCCTATACATTTTTTCAGTCTTTGTCCCATTCCCTCATGTTTTCTAATTATTTCTACTTCACACACAGGACAGCAATATTCAGTGAAGACTGTTCTGTCTTCCATTATCTGTAAGCCTGCTATAAAAACAAAACAAAACCAGATTAGCTAAACCCTTAGGCTGGATTACCTGCCACAGAGAGTATAACTCTAAATCCAGTAAGAGATTCATCTAGCTTGTTATTTTAAATCTTGCAGCAGCTTTTAAAAATATTACTGTTATTATTATCCAGCAAGGATGTGATCTGCTTGGAGAGAAATGCATAAAATGTACTAGATTTTTATTTTTTATTTTTATTTTTTTGATATGCAGACTAAAGGTCCTGCACAAACATGGTTCTGCAGTCAGTGAGAACTCTGCTGAATCTAAAAACCTTGGTCTACTACTGTGGGCTTATATTTTTTGAAATGGAGTTGAAGTTGCCCAGTCAAATTTTGTCTAGTTATGCTGCATTTTGTCTACAGTAAAAGAAACATCAAGGAATATGTTAAATAAGACCAATTTGCAACACTTACTTTTAGCTCATGAATAGGTTCATAACCTCCTGTAGCTAGCAGCACATAGGTAAATGTTTATCCTAGATAAGTAGAGGACTCCTTTTATACCTACCCATGAATGTAAGGATTACTCTGTCAGACACCCATGTAAATCATCCTTCCCAGGTGAAATGAAGAGGAGAGAGGGGTTCTGTGAAGATGAAACTGCAGCGCAAATTGGCAAAATCTGTGCAAAAAAGCAAGTTACCACAGTCCATGTTCTTGCCTGCCGTGTTGTTTAGATCTCTAGCTGTCATAAAGTGTAGTGTGATTATCTCTGCTCCTACTGTGAGCAAGTGTTCTCCCTTCCCTTACTAGACAAGTGTAAAAGATCAGATAAATTCCTGGAGCAGTTTGTTGTTGTTATTACTACATTTCTAATACGCTACAGCACATTACTAGCCATTATCACGTGTTGGATGCTGTGCATGCACAGAAAAAAAAAAAAGACATTTATCCAAAATGCAAGCACTCTGGCTCTAATCTCTCCAATTCTTTCTGGCTTCAATCATTAGCAAAAAATAAGGACAGAGAGGAGGAGAGTTAGCACTATAAATCCCAATTTGTTCCTGTGTTTGCTCCCAGAGCAGAGCAATTGCTTGCTGCCAAATATTCCAAGCTGAACCTAGCAAGTTCAGACTGGTTCCTCGCACAACAATTGATTTGCTGAGGACCGAACAGGCAGGACTGCTCATGGGGGAGGGGGCTTGCTGCTTTTTTTTTTTAATTACAGACTCTGTGAGAGATGAGTATGTGCTCTTGAAGATATGACTGCAAAGCTTCAGGGAATTTATACAAACTATGGAGTAACTAATGGTATTTGGTGCTTTGGTGCCAAGATATCCTTTGGATACTTTTCCCAGTGTTTCTGTTCTCTCCTCTGCCCTCATTATTAATTCTGTCCTCCATGACTATCCTTTCCTTGAGACAAAATCCCACTTTTTCAGAGGAGAAAGAAATTTGCATCTAGCTTGTTCCAAAGACTCACAAAAAAGAATAGAACCATGTTCAGAAAAAAAGAGGCAAAGAATTACGGAAACAGATCAGAAATATGTCTTATTTCATGATGCGTTTCAGAATTAGTTTCACAGTTAACTGAATTCATGGCTGTTTATTGGTGGTAGTATTATGTGTTCTCTTTAAATAGTTCTGCTAAAGGGTTATTGTTATTTTAAGCTTATTCCTGGAATTATGAATTCTCTAAGTTCTTATTAAGACATGTCCCCATAAACAGATTTGAGTTGAGACAGTTTTATTTTTGCCTTGCTGCTTTCTCTGAAGGATGTAGTTCTAATAGGAATGTTACACGTGGCATCTGTCTCTAGCACTCTGCCTTGAAGTTATCATGACCAGTTCTCCTGTTCTCTGTCGGTTGGCCTGTTAGGATAAACTCTCTGTTGTCACACTGACTTATCTTGGATCCTTTTCTTGCTAGACTGCCACATTTCTGTGAGGTCTTTTTTCCAAGTGGCACTTTCAACATCAGTAATAATTGCAGCAGGGTCAGAGGTGACTTAAGTTAGTAGTCTAAAATTTTGAAGTGAAGTTTTGTACCTTCACATTGGTGCCTCACCTGTGATAGAGCCCAGATTTTATGGTGATGGGGTAGAGATGTGAGCATGTAAAAGAGGGATGAAAGAAGAATTGAAAAAATGACGTTGACATTATTGTCTTCAGTGGCTGAGTGAGGGGATTGTCTATTGTAAAGGCAAGCAAAGATTAAAAATAACTCTCAAGTTTAGGTTTGCCTGGGTGTTGTTTGAAGTAGCAGCAGAACAACTCTAATAGAGAACTAGAAGTGATGCAATGAGCAAACAAAAAAGTCTTGGAATAAAACAGTAACAAGGTATGTGAAATGAGGAAACCAACCAGAATACTGCAGAGATGATAAGGAATTGGGGATAAGTCTGTGAGAGAGAAGAAGAGGAGAATATAAAAGCTTGAAGGATGGAGGTTCTGGAGCAAACACTGCTGAGAAATGTGGAAATGAGGTGAGGCAAGAGTCAGAGAGAGGTGAGGCGGCAGCAGCACCAGATACCTACCCCAGGGAATGGAAAAGAGAAGCTGCTAATGGATGACTTCAGGGAGGCCTCCTGGGAGACTAACAGCAGAGAAGTATTTGCCCAGGAGCTATCTGAGGGTCAGCCTATCTTCTTCAAACTTTGAAGACAATAAAGCAGGGAGATTTTCAAGATCATGCAGAAGAACTGGAGGAGCCACAGAGTTTCTATAATATCTTTTTTTTTTTTTTTTTATCCTACATAGATAGGGAATGTGAGGTCCAGAGTTTTTTATGTCAAGCTGATCTTTATGCTTTTACGAGCACACTTTAGGATTTAGCTGGAAATGCCTTTGTCTGAAAATGCTGCCATGCCGTCAGGAATGCTCCTAATTCTTTTCCCAGGTTACCTGCACTGTGGAGACCAGAGACAAAATGCACACAGCCCAGCTGAGGAACGCACTCCTGGAACGCTACCCAACAGCAACGTGGACAGAGCGGTGATGAGCAAAGCACAAGGGAAGGGGCTGAGGTCCTTGGACAAGCATTTTGCAGAGCACTAATCTTGAGGCATTCAGAACAAATATTATTTTTCAAGGCTGAGCAGTTATCAAATAGTTTCAGGATATTTATTTCCTGCTCAAAATGTAGCAAACATCCTTGGAAACAAAGTTGAACTTGAAGCTTTAGCTTAGCTAAGGGAAATTTCATAGTCTCTGCCAGTGTTGGAATTATCAGCTGTTTCACTGGGTTTTGACTAGTGTGTAGAATCCAATGGCATTCAGTAAATAAACGGAGAGAAGGCATATTTTTTATATCTGAATGTAGGCCCCTCAAAGGGCTTTTGATTTTGATGCTCCTAGTTAATGCAGATCCTGCTGGATTTGGCCATATTACTAGTATAGTCATTTTTCATTTCCCGGCCAGAAGCAGTTCTTCATTTGCTGAATCTGCTTCATGGGATATATACATGTGTGTGGGTGAACATGGTTGCATTTGCGTAAGAACTTTGCTATCACAAGGAAAAATTATGCTAATAAAATGTAATTTAAAAGAAACCCTTATCAGATAAAAGCTAATACTGTATTTTTTCCCCAAAGGAAAAATGACCCTATTTATAAAACAAGGTTCCAGAAAATGTTGCAACAATTAAAAAGGAAGAAAAAAAAAAAAAGGTTTTCATGTGCAGAATATAAATGTAATTCTTGCTCCTGCTTTTGGAGATGCAATGTAACAGTGAGCCCATGAAGTGGCTATATTCCCTTATAAAAAGGAGTCTCTCACCCTTTTGAGTTTTCTAATTGGAATTTCACTGATCATCTTAGTCTGCCTAAAACAAACTCGATCCATCTCACCTGACAGATTAAGTACGATGTCAAGAGTGAAATATATTTAAAGATCACAAGTTACTAAGCAAAGACGGCTCAGGGATAAGAGGAAGACCGAGTCTTAGGCCAGCGGCTAATGCAATTAAGGAAGAACACATTGACCTATATACCATTTTCATCGCTAGAGATGGAGACCTACTAATAAGGTAACATTGTGGGATGGCAAGAGATGTAAGAGAAATTCAAGCCCACCTCTAAATGTGTGTTCAGCAGTTGCTTTTCCATGTGGGCAAAATTCAATTAAAGGTTGTCTGCAACAGCACCAATATAAACTATTCCATTCATTTAAATTGCACCAGATTTGACCCAAATTTTGGGTGCAGGTATTTTAATGTGAAGTCTTAATCCTGTCTCTAGAATATCATGATAACTAAGTATATAAAATAGATACTGTATATTTAGCAGAGCTCAACTCAAAATCCAACAAGCTCAGAGTGTCCTCACAGGCAGCGTGGGATCAAATCCATCCGGTTCCCATGTGCAGAGCCGAGTGAACTATTTTTCAGTGTCTGTGAAAATGAACTTTTACTATAGCTTTTGGGGAGAAAGATGCTACAAGCCCATCATGACATTCCCTTGTTGCCGTATTACAACTGATAAATTGAAGTTTTCTTCTGCAGTCCTCCGCTGTAGTGAAGCATGTGCTTGTTAGGACGTTTCCTTTCCTAGTCCTGCAATGTGGAATTTCTGTCTCTAGAGCACAAACAAAAAATCACATGTGGAAAACTGAAGGTCCTGGGGCAGGCACATGCTCTTTGTATCCTCTCTCCATTCTAGTCCATCTGTCAGATAGGAAGAACATCATCTAAAGAGTTAGAGCAATCTAATCAGAGGGTCCCCGTGGACTACAAAGAATGAACTTCATATCCATTCTTATGCATATCTTACTTGTATCATGTCTATTACTTACAGATAACCACCTATATTTATAACCTAACTTGTGCCTACAAGGTGGGATTGATGAGGGCAGCATCTTGGCTGTCTCTGTGGTATTTTTTTTAAGAAGTAACAGGCTATTTGTTCTTTCTTATTGTGGCTCAGAAAGGAGCAGGAGTGGAGAAGAGACTCTCACAAATGGTGGATGAATAAGAGAAGTTTGCTGGTTTGGTATGTTTTTGGAAGGATCATGTTGGTTTGCAAATAAACCTAAAAAAATATCGATACCCCAACAGTTACTTTCTTTCCCTTCCTGCTAACCACAGCAACGAGTATAGGACTTGGTCACCAGAACGTACTGTAAATCAGCCAGTCAGACACAACTCCTTTTTTCAGTCACAGGAGTTTAAGAAATTTGTATAGAAATACATGATGATGGAACACATATTCAGTACTTGTTGCTTCCATTGAAACAAGTGATGAATCACATCATCAAAGAGCAGATTTGGGGATGTAAGATATATATACACACACACACGTATATGTATAAGGGTGTAGTTACCCTCTCATCTCTTTCGGCAAACCTCTCAGGAAATGTTGAGGATGTCTTGGATATTTATGTGAAAAGAAAGTCAGGCTTTATAACCAAAGTTCTCAGTAGTGGCCAGCAGCCTTTGTCCTCTAAATTCTTGATTTATTATCATGCATTATCCTGGATTTTATTTTTCTAGAAGCTCAGAGTACTAGGGATTTCATTTCTAATCAGAGGTAACTGCATTTAGCAGGTCTTCACATAACAGGAATTAGAGAGGTAATAGATTGAGCATCCAAAAATCAGTGTGGTCAAGATCACCATATGATCAAAAATTTGTTTTGGAAAAAAAAAAAGAAAGAAAATGATTTGTTTAGTATGTCACATATGACATATGCAGTTGGGTTTTATTGATATTGTATTAAGTATAAACATAAACTGTAAAATATTCTTCAGTGGCAAACTCCTTATATGTTAAAATAATGATACCAGAAGTGATCTCCATTCTGTACTGCTTTTATGCAAGTCCAATGGCTTTAAAGGTAAGACAAAATACTTCTGGGGGGAAGGGGCATTTAAATGAGTGTATGTGATTGGAAAGAATACTGAAATATCTGTGCTGCTAAACTTTTTGCATTATGAAATATAATAGGATTGTGGCATTTTGAAGATGTACTTATGTATTTTAAAATGTTTGATTTAAATAAATATTTTTATAGAGTGTTCTTATGTATCTTGAAAAAAAAAAACCAACAAACTAAAGATTATGTAAAAATATCAGCAAAATTTAAATCTAAGCATTGTATTTATTTTAAAAATAATAAAAATGACATTATGCTGCCTCAGCAATGAAAGGTTTATCATCCTGTCATATGGTACTGGTAGCAACCCTGCATTAAAATTTCAGAGTTCATTTTTTCCCTTTCTCTGTTGTTGACATTGAGGTGAAATCCACAGCTCTCATGCAGAATGAGCTCTGGGTTGCCAGGGAGTTGACCCAGCAGGCCAGGATTGTCCCTCTTGCTCTGTAGAGCAGCACAGGAGCCTCACAGACTGCTCACCAGCGTGGTTGGGTAAGCATTGCTCCTTGCTGGCTTGGCAAGCAATTCTGCTTCATGTACTGGGCCAAGTACAAATGCTGCCTTGCTTGTATCCAGCTTGTACCCTGGGCAATGTGTCTGGGTACAGCCTGGTACAGAAGTATCCTGGGCTGGGCCTGTGTGGGTGAACTAAGTCCTTATCCTATCCTATCTTAGAGATACTCATCATGAACGTTGTGAACTTGGGTAAACCAGGCCTTCAATTGCAGGTTGCAATAGATTCCACCAGCTAAAATACATGTTCATGTCTCTGATGGAAGAGGCTGCTTTGACCCAGTTAATTCTGCTGGAGGTAAGCCACTTGACTTTGGGAGCATCTGTGAATGCAAGGTTTGCCAGGGCCTCAGCACAACTTCTTCCAAGGACTGATGCAAACAAAGCGTATCGTCTACTGAAGGTCTCTCTTCCTACACTGACTCCTAATTTCTCAGCCAGGGCCTGTTAGCTCTGCATTAACTTCTAAAACGCTGCCAGTACACATTTAAATAGCATCAGGTACCGTTCATCCCTCCATACAGGTACTACCTTGCTGTTTGGCCTACTTTTGGAAGATCTGGAAGCACATGTTCTTCCTTCCCATGCCACAATGCAGTAAGTGCAGTTGATATGCTGTATCAAACTGTTGCTAGATCCAGAGATAGGCATGTGGTTTAGTGGCCAGAAAAGGAAACCATAAGACTCTTGGTTTGGCCTTTAATTATTGATGGTCATTTATTTGATGGCCTTTTGTTTTTCTGTCACCTTCTTTGTTGTGTGTTTAACTGTAAGCAGACTGCCACATGTAGGATATTGAACTTTACAGAGTTTCTTCTGTTACGAACCTTTGCTTTCATGAGCTCCGAACTTGTTGCTGTATCCAAATGGAAGAGTAATCCTGCTGAATTTCATGCCTTCCTGAGCTGATGCATTTCCCATCACTTTGATGTGCTTGTGGTGGTGGTGGTAAATAAAGCTGCAGCAAAAGTTGTTGGAAAGCTTTCTGATAAAATCTGAATGTTTGAAGTAATTCAGTATTGAGCACACATAAGATCCCTAAGACCGTAGTGTCTGTGTCTCTCTCTTTCTCTTTCTTTCTCTCTCCAAAGAAAGGAAGAGCCTAGCAAGTCCTTCAGGGGCAGGGTTGAATCAACCACACCTGAGTGCATCCACAGAAAGGATATGAGGGGCTTGTCCTGCCTCAGGGAGAGGAAGGGTGTGTCAGTAAGGGGTTTCAGCTGTGCTGGTGGTGATGGCTGAAAGTTCTAAATGCAGGTACCCGTATTTGTTTGGTGGTGTTTTTTTCTTTTGTTGTTTTTTGTTTGTTTGTTTGTTTGTTTTTGTGACTGTGGACTTCTTAGTCTTTCATGCCTCTGAAGCTTGTAGAGGAGAATTGTTTGTTCATGTTTGTTTTCTTATGGTAAGAAGTCTAGAGGGTCTTAAGAAGGAAACTTTAACTTCTGTGGTTTCTGAAGTCAGAAAGCTGCCCCCCCTGTCTGTTTTCTCAAGGGGCACTTAAAATGTTTTTCTTCAAGTGAAGTCTGGAAGTGAGTACATTGGGAATACATACAGCTGTGTTCTTTATACCTCTCCCTTCCTTGTTTCCAGTCATTCAAGTACTGCAATTGCATGTAGCATAGTAGAGGTCTTGCAAGGGCTGTGTGGTCTCGTAGAGTATGGAGATGGTGCTCTACTACTGCCTCTCCTCTGAAGAACAATGGTGAAGGAAATGCTGAGGTTCCCTATCGCCCCTTTTCTTTAAACAAACTGCTTTCTTCAGTGTCTCCTTGTTTTCTTCAGATCAGGACTACAAAACCATGATAATTTCTTGACTTGTTCATGCAGGCATCAGTCTGAATAAACACTTCACTAACAAGATAAACCAAATGTATAGGTGTATGGCAATACACCAAAAGTTTTTATTAAGTCCTCAAATGAGCAGAGTCATTAATAATAATAATAATAAAATACCACTACAAAAATATTTTTATTTTATATATGGAGATCACTTGCTGGAAGGCAGGTGGATAAAACTGTACAAGCCTATATTTAAAAAGCAAAAAAAAAAAAAAAAAAGCAAAGGATTTTTCAAACTGCTTATGCTAGTAAGTAGTGAAGTGAGACTCATGGCTTCAGTAATGAGGACTCATTTACAACAGCTATGTAATCAAAAAATGTGAAGAGATGTTCTCCTCTCGTTATTAAAGCATGAGCTATAAATACAGAAGAAATATATAATTTGAATTATTTCGTTCATGAAAACATTACTACGTTAGTTACTTTTTCCTTTGAGAAGCTCAGTTGTCTGGAAGCCTTAATATCAGGTGCTGGGAAGCACCTGTCAGCTCCCTGTTCCTCTAAAATCTACTGT